GAAATGCGACTAGAAAAGGTAAAAAGAGGTGATGAAGTAAATGGAAAGAATGAACAAGTGAAAATATAAATAGAAATAATAAATTAGGTAAGAAATGTTTCGGTCCATTAAGTCGTATACATTTCTTACCTTTCCACAGTTGGACCTCGTCAGTACGACGGCTGTGGTAACTATATTTTTGATAAAATTAAAGAATGATTAAAGTAAAAAGTAAAAAGAATTAAGTAATGATAATGATTTTGAAATGGAATAATAGAAGTATTAAAGCGGAAGTAAAAATAAGAGAAGTATGAAAGTAAATAGGTAAAAATTAAATGTACAATGTTATGAAATGAAGCCTTAGTGTGCACTGTTTAGAAGTATCAAACATACAGAAGCATCCTTAAACTCTCAGGCACCATCTTTCAATTAATCCCTCAAGCATTCTCCAGCGAACTGATCAATCGCATTGCAGTGAGTGGTTGATTCAACTGGATCTTAAGCAAGGTAAAAAGAATGAGAACTGACCGAAGAAAATTTTCCATTCCAGAATTTCTTGGCAAATATTGAGAACGAATTTGGCGGTTTTTTCGGAAAATTCGGATCCACTGTGATACTATGACCTTGTTCCAGGAATAAATGCAGTATCTAAAATCATCAAGCTAACTTTAAAGAATGAAAAAATCAACTGAAAAATAATGACTAGGAACGACATGACGGAGCTACTCAGGGTATTCTTTCCAAGCAAAAATATTTACTATGAAAAATTACTTCATCAAAACTTCATTTTAAATGTCATGAGAAGCAGTGCACTTATGCTTTTTTTTTTGTGGAAATCAAGTTCAAAACAACAAACTTCAAAGGCCATCTTCACTGACATTGTAGAAGTAGTCGTGGATTCCTTCAAATATCGCCGCAAATCGCTTTTGAGCATCCTGGAGCGCAAGAATATTTGCATAAAATTTGCATTCATTTAGCACATATAACGAGAAAAAGAAGAGTGCATATTTAGCAAAATAGAGAAAAATAACGCAAAAAAATTCACTGAAATTCTTATTCACCAAGAAATTTACAACGAAAACTTGTTCCTACAAAACTTGCGCCATCCAGCTGATCACTCACTCCCTCATAGGCGTCACTCACTGCTGTGTGAGCGTAAAAGTTTCCAGTAAAAACCTCTTGCCTATCAGATTTCGCTTTTTCGAAGTTGTCGCAATGACATCCTACGTTCTACTCCTATGATGAAAAGTCTAATTGCCCGCACGATTACGAAGAGACATTCCAAGCTTAATTGCTCATTTTAGCACAGCTAAGGACCAGTGGCCACATTTTGCTTCCGTGTATTAATGCTTTCAACATACTGGTACTAAAAAAATAGACATAGCCCACGGGGTTCGAGACATTAAATTAACAAATCTTAAAAAAAAATTGAATTAACAAATTAAATTAACAAAAATCAGAAATATTAAAATAAATTTACTCAGCAGTCATTCCTGGAGGCAGATCCACGCCGTCAAAATCATTAAATCCATAAAACTTTTTCCATGAGCTTCGCTTGCTCCC